GGAGTCGGGTCCTACAAAAAGGGGTCAGAGATACGATGCGAAGAGAGTCGGAGTGACGATGCGATGAGCTCGAGATGGTAGAGAAGCTAAGATGGAAATCACTGAGAGGCAAGACGTAGGCGACGATGGCGAAGACGATGAAGACGGCGGCGGAAGGAGAGTGATCAGACCGCGACGTGAAAAACCAACCTTCGGCCCCGACTCGAGCAGCCAACTCCGAGGCTCCCACTACATGGACATTCTGTGAGACGAACTTCACCTCCTTTACTTGAACAAGCTTTGCGAGAAGGAATGTGGCATATTGAGACATTGCGCGGTTTTATTAATTTATCACTTTATCATTTGTGTCGTTGTATGTTTACTCTGTATTGAGGCACCGTTGTATTGTCACCGTTACTCGCTTATGTATCCTGTTTTGCGTGTCGCGAGTATTTGCTGATGTGTTACCCTTTTACGTAACAGAGATGTCGTTCATGGGCAATATGTGTGGACGCCATTTGCACTTGTTATTCAATTAAATGCGTCCATGATTAAGAAAAGATCGTGACGTCTCTTACTTCCCGGCCCCAGCACGAATCCCTGTATGTGGAAAGTAATTGAGACATGTAGCCAAGAGGGAACCAAGCCAAGACATGTAGCCAAGAGGGACATGTAGCCAAGAGGGTTGAGGGGCTTCCCTCTCTTTGGCGATCGGTGGGGTAGTGGGGACGTCTCAGATGCCATTTGGCCCATTCAGTGAAGAGACTCGCACGATTGCGGCACAAAACTAGTCCTGATCCCGGGTGGAATGACATCTCAACTGCAACCTTTTGACGTTTGCGTAAATAAGCTATTCAAGGATGCAGTTAAGCGTTGCTACATGGAGTGGTGTTGGCCGGACAACTTCACCATCAAATACCTTTCGTCGAAAAAATAGTAATATATGCGCATGAACCGCTGAATAACAGCGTAGGGTAGCCACTCACTCAGCGTGCATTTTGTTCGACGTGCAAAGTAATGAGAAATCAGATGCGTGGAAAGAAGGGTCATTCAAGGCACTAATCCTGCACAAGCTCGCAAGGTCAGAAGTTCGAAACCACATGGGGTGCTTTTTTTTTTAATAGGGGAATTATATTTTCAGACAACTAGGAAAAAAGGTGAGGCGAGCTACGAGCTAGGTGAAGTTGAGAGCTTATAGGCTGTCAGGTGGTTTTATACATTGCTAATAAAGTGCAACAGACTACCTACTTAAAGATAGTGCAGCTGCCAAGCATGCCATGTCGAAATTCGGTTCGAATAAAGTTGTCGAATCTTTCCCAATTTTATATCTACTTAAAATACGTGAGGAAGGAATTGCTAAAAAGAAAGAAAAAGGAAGTCTGGTGTGGCCTCACTGGTGACCATCTGCTGGTAATGCACTCCCTCACCAGAGCAGGATTGGCCACCCTGGTGCAGTGCCTAGCCACAACCTCCCATGAACACAGCAATTAACCCTTGGCCCTCAGTCCACAGCAGCTGCAAAGCAACTGTCCAAGGCAGCGGTCAGACCTGTGATGCGGCTGAGGGTGCTAAGAATCCCTGGGTACGGACAGGCCGCCATTGGAATCTGAACATGGCTACCTTCAACACTAGAACACTATCTAGTGAGGCTAGTCTAGCTGTGCTATTCGAAGAATTAGAGGGTGTTAAACGGCATGCAACAGGGTTCAGCAAAGTTAGGAGGACACGTGAGGCTTATACAGTGGTGAAGAATGGACACGTGCTATGTAACCGTAGATTAGTTGACAGAAAAGAGCAAAAAGTGGGGTTTCTCATACACAAGAATATTGCTGGCAACATAGAAGGATACTATAGCATCAATGAGAGGGTGGCAAGTATCATAATTAAGTTTAACAAAAGGTACCAGATAAAGGTGGTACAGGCCTACACGCCTACATCGAGCCATAATGATCATTTGGTTGAACGCTTTTATAAAGACGTACAGTCAGCCATTAATAAAGCAAAACAGTATACTATTCTTATGGGCGACTTTAATGCCAAAGTAGGCAAGAAACAGGCTGGAGACCATGCAGTGAGTGAATATGGCATCCTCTTTAAAAATGACAGAGGGGAGTTATTAGTAGAGTTCGCAGAACGCAATGATTTACTCATTATGAATACCTCCTTCAGTAAAAAGGCTAACTGTAAGTGGAGGTGGCGAAGTCCGAATGGCAAAACTAAATATGAAATTGACTTCATTCTGTGTGCGCACTCAGACATTGTACAGGATGTAGAAGTAGTTGGCAAGATTAGATGCAGTGACCAAAGAATGGTGACCAAAGAAAAAAGCAAAGACAAAAACTGATATGCATTAAACCAATTAAGGAAATGGCAATGAGAGGAAAAGTACAGGAATTCAGAGTTTTTCTTTAGAATCGATTCGAGGCACTAAATGAGATAACCGACGTTAGTGTTGACACAATGAACGTTAGTATTACTAGTACCATCAAAGAGTGTGCAATTGAAGATGGAAATTGAGTCACTAGACAGGAAACTAGCAAACTATCTCAGGAGACAAAAAATCTTATTAAGAGACAACAAACGATGAAAGTCTCAGATGCAACTGACAAAATAGAGCTAGTGGAGCTTTCGAAGTTAATCAATAGGCGTAAAGTAGCCGACATCAGGAGGTATAGCATGGAAAGAATTGACCAGGCTGTAAAAAGCGGCAGAAGCCTAAAATCTGCGAAGGCAGAATTGTGAATAGGCAAAAATTGGATGTATGCATCGAGAAACAAAGAAGGCAATGTCATAACCAATATAGATAGAATAGTCGAGATGGCGGAAGAGTTCTGCAGAGAGCTGTACAGAAGTCAAAAGAACCAGGATGGTATTGTAAGAAACTATAATAGTCCAAGAGAATTCGACATCCTACCAGTAACAACAGGGGAAGTAAGGAAAGCCCTAGAAGGAATGCAATGAGGCAAAGCCGCTGGTGAGGATAAAGTAGCAACAGACCTCCTGAAAGTTGGAGGAGAAATTGTGTTAGCAAAATTAGCCACCTTATATACAAAGTATCTCTTGGCGGGAAGGGTACCAAAATCTTGGAAGAACGCCAATATCATCTTAATTCATAAGAAAGGAGACATCAAGGACATGAAAAATTACAGGCCGATCAGCTTTCTCTCCATTCTCTACTAACTATTTACAAAAATAATAGCTAATATAATTAAGACGATATTAGAGTTCAATCAGCCAAAGGACCAAGCAGAATTTTGTACCGGCTTCTCCACAATAGACCATATTCATACTATCGATCAGGTAATAGAGAAATGCGCTGAATACAACCAACCCCTATACATAGCTTTTATAGATTATGAGAAGGCGTTTGACTCAGTCAAGACATCAGCAGTGATGCAGGCATTACGAAATCAGGACATCCATGAAGCCTACGTAAATATGTTGGAAGAAATCTACAGCGGATTCGCAGCCATCATAATCCTCCATAAACAAAGCGACAGAATCCCAATAAAGAAGGCTGTAATGCAGGGAGACACAATCTCATCAATGCTATTCACCACGTGTTTACAGGAGGTTTTCAGGGCCCTAGGTTGGGAAGAGTTGGGGATATGAGTTATTATAGAGTATCTTAGTAACCTGTGATTCACGGATGCAATTGCTTTGATGGTTAACTCAGGGGATGAATTACAGCTCATGATTACGGAATTGGACACGGAAAGCAGAAACGTAGGCCTGAAAATTATTATCCACAAAACTAAAGTAATGTACAACAATCTCGGCAGAACATGGCACTTTGTGATACGTGGAGAGGCGCTGGAAGTTGTAAAAGAATATGTCTACTTAGGACAGGTAATAACCGCAGAGCAGAACCACGACAATGAAGTAACTAGAAGAATAAGAATGGGGTGGAGCACATTTGGCAAGCACTCTCAAATCATGACTGGTAGATTGCCACTATCCCTCAAGAGGAAGGTATTTAACAGTTGCATCTTGCCCGTACTTACCTACGGAGCAGAAACCTGGAGGCTTACAAAGAGGGTTCAGCTTAAATTGAGGACGATGCAGCGAGCGATGGAAAGGAAAATGATAGGTGTAACGCTAAGAGACAAGAAGAGAGCAGAGTGGGTCAGGGAACAAACCGGGGCTAAGGATATTATAGTTGAAATCAAGAAGAAATGGACATGGGCCGGACACGTAGCACGTAGACAGGATAACCGGTGGTCATTAAGAGTAACTGATTGGATTCCCAGAAAAGGCAAATGCAGGAAGGGGAGACAGAGAGTTAGGTGGGCTAATGAGATTAAAAAGTTTGTAGGTATAACGTGGCAACGGAAAGCACAAGACCGGGTTGATTGGCGGATCATGGGAGGGGCCTTTGCCCTGCAGTGGGCTGTCAGGCTGATGATGATGATGAGGTAGATTACCCAATCGCTTCCTGAGTGACAGTGTTCAGCATTAAAAACCAATGCAGGAGCCTTGGAAAAACAGTTCTGAATGAATCAAGCCACTTTGGGTTCTTGCACCATCAACCCTCAACATGCACCATCTAGAACTCGGCACACAAGAGTTCTGTATTTTGCTCTGGCAAATGTAAAATTTTGACAAGTCCCCAAATGCTACTAGTTCAAGTGTCCACCTTGAGTGAGACAATTAGTTACATTGTCCAGAGAACTGAGCATCCCTCATCAAACCAATTACAAATCACAATTTTTCATGGATAAGTCCCACCAATGTTTCAAGACTTGTCAATGCTGAATTTATGAAAGAAAATTACAAAAGATTGATTGGTTCAATTGAAGTTTCAATAGTTTTGTTTTTGAAACAACAGTAGATAACAGCATCACTGTGTTGTTTCATTATTTTAATTAAATAATTCAACTCAATTTCTTGCATTATTCATATGTGAATTTTACAAAGTTCCAGAAATATGAGTGTTGATTGTTATAGACAAACAAAATAGTTTTCTAGCCTATTTTAGCACTAATACTGCTAAATGGCTGGCTACTTTATTGCATACTGACCTCAGACTCAGATGCTTGACAACATAAGTTGCTGTAGTAGTTCTTGCCCTTGTCTTCGATGATGTCTGCCACTCGACAGGTATACAACGCCTTCCAGACTTGGCTCCGAAATGCAGCAGGAACACCTTGCCGTACCAAGCTCTTCAGTTCTTTCTGCATGCCAGAGCCAGCCACAGAGCAGTCTAAACTTACTGCACAAAGAAAGCAACATGCATAGGAAATGCACCTGTGCAGCTGCACATGAGAGCCTGAACTTCACAGAGATAAAATCTTTTGTATCTGCTTTGTTCATATAGTACTACACAATTTGCTTCACTTGAGCTGTATATCTGCAAACCTGTGAACTTCAAAATTTTGAATATTGCACAGACATGAAATCGATAGTTGGACGAAAGCCCGTTCGGTCACGAACAGACATGAAGACACTTAAAACAACACACTGACCATGAGCAGATGCACGGACGGATGGACAAAGAGACAGACAAACGGACGGATGGAAGAACGGACGTATGGACAGACGTACCGATGGTCACACGGATGGATGGACACACAGAGAAATGCAAGCAAGAACGAATGGACGGACGGAAGTACGGACGGACTGACGAACGCTTCGCCCCTCCAATCATCATTCACTTCGTAGATATGCTGTGATTTTTTTCAGCTACTTTGGTGTTGCTGATTTCACCAGCTTCAATAACTTGCCTCTATAACATGCCCCTAAACATCTACCTTTGGCACATCCTTTCAACATAAGATTTCACAGGCGTTAAAGGAACTAATAAGCAAATCTTTTTCATGAACTTTACTTACTTTTCATAAGATGTGATGAAACATTCGTAGAATCTTAAAAAGAGCCAAAATTTGCAAACTTTATAAAATTTCTGGAGCACTGGCAGGTATGCGGTTAGCACTACAGTGTCTTGTATTTCAAGCCATTAGATTTGAGCTTGTCAATTTATTTCTCTCCTATGCCAAATATTTTTCTTTGCAAATTGAGAGTCCACGACTTACATTAAAATAAACAGAAAATAGTGCAGATGAAGAATACGTGAGAAAGTGCAAGTATTGTACTTTTTTTCCCCCTTGGCTTTCGTCTCCTGGTTAGCTTCTGTTTGCATCATCATAAGCCCAATCATAACATTGCTTAAATGAAGTCTTGAATTAGAATGTGGGTTCTGCAGCCTATTTAGACCAGACAAGGTAGTAGCTATATTTAAAAGGGCCATAAACCATCTATCATATCTCGATGAGAAAATGCTATCTTTAGACTTTTATTTATTAGGGTGTTACAGTAGTTACATAGCTTGGCTGCTGACCTGAAAGTCACAGGTTTGATCCCGGTCCTACAATTGTATTTCTACGGAGGCAAAACGCTAAAGGCCTGTGTGCTGTGCAATGTCAGTGCATGTTGAAGTATGCCAGATGGCCAAAAGTTTTGTGGCCTTCTACTACGACGGGGCTCATAGTCCTATAGTTTGGGGCAAGTGAAACTCTAGTTATGGTTAATATTCTTATCTCTTAGACAGAAGGCAAAGCTCTTAACATTTTAGCCAAATTTTTAATCATGTGTGGCACATAGAGTTCACAACTGAAGTACAACGTTGCAACATCGTTTTTAAACAGAAGATTGATGTCGTGAGATGTCAGTCATTGGCTATTTCATGAGAACATTGACATATTCCAACAATGAGCTACCATTGGTGAATAGAGATGTAGTCCCCAGGCAGAATGTTTTAATTAGGGTGCTCGTTCCTACTGTTTCTACTGGTGCAGTGTCGTGCCCAGTAACAGAGCACGGCACTGCATCTGTGATGACGAACTCACACAAGCTGTTTTTGCAGGTTAATAACCTACCCTGTGCTTTGTGTGTGAGGGACTTTTTGCTAACGGTGTCACACCCTGTAGAACTAACCAATGTACGGATTCGAATACACATTATTGCCTCTCATTCGTGCTGTGTATTGCAGGCATTGTTATTTATGCTTTCTGGTGATATTGAGTCCAACCCTGGTCTGATGACCAAGGCAGAAACAAAAATGCTTGCAATTGTCGTAGATAAAATTTCTAAACCAGAAGAAGCACACGCAGGGCTCGTTGCTGAACTAACAAGTGCAAAAAAAGGAGGAGGCTGCTGCACTAATGAAAGTCACAAAGTTCGAGAAGGGCAACGCACTTCTGCATGCTGAAACAAAAAGTACAAGAGACAAACTAGCAATGACCAGGAGCAAAATCGAACTTATTAACACAGGGTTAATGCCCCGAGAAGCCCCTGAGAAGCCCCCTAGAAGTTCCCTTGGAGCACCCGGCCCATTCTGCCACTAGAGCCGATGTGCTGCAGGACGTCTATAATCAGCTCACAACAATAAACTCCAGGTGTGAGGACACAGAGAACAAGCTTTGACGATCTAACTTTGTTTTTGTTTTTTTTTTTTGTATTGAAGACTCCTCTGCAAAAGACTGGGCAGCATCAGAGCTTAAAATAATAAAGCTTCACCCAGACAAGCTGGCAATAAGAACAACTAGTGTGCAGTTCAAACATGTGAATCCGTTAGACAAATATAATCTTGATAAGCCCCGGCCTCTGATTACCAAATTCACATTTTTTGAAGACAAACAAGAAGTTCTTCCAGCTGCGCATAATTAAAGACTCATCAATCTCCATTGGCAAAGACTTCTCTTTTGCCCCCCGCCAAAGTAGAAGAAAACTGATCGAATTTACCAAGACTCAAAACAAACTGCACAAATTATCTCCTGATAAGCTGCATATGGGTAAAGCTTAGGCTTGTGCGAATAATGAATTTTAAATTTGAAGTGAATTCGAAGCAAGTTCGAAGCGACTAGTGATTTTGGTCGGATAATTTTGAATCGAACTTGAACAGAATATATCACATATAAAAAAAATGGACATATTTATCATGACCTATCTAACCTGCACAATAATTTTTTTAAATATGGTTTATATGCATGAGCTTTCATTATTTTTTCCCTTTCAAAGGAAGTCGAAACAACTTTGAGAAGTAGCAGAATTTGACTTTCAGTAGGATGTAAGTGAAAGCCTGTAAAATATCTAACATTATTAACAGTGTATAAGCCAGCAAAACAAGCTTTTAAGCTTAGAAAATGATCCATTGGTTTGAGGATAATATGTTCATTTAAAGGGATCCTGCAACAGTTTTAAAGTAGCCATGGAATGGATTCACCATAGAAGCTTATTACCTTATAAATCAACCGTCGCTAAAATTTTCAGAATCTGTCCAGTATGAGCGTAGTCATGAAGATTTGCCACATGCTGCAGTTGAATTCTCTATTCTCATTTCGACAAAAGCGCTTGAAGCAAAGCCGGGAGAGATGGCATGCATAGGGAAAGAAAATACGTCACGTGTGTGTCGTGACCTTGAGTACCATTTCTTTCCCTTTTTTTTTTTTTTCTTCTTTGAATATGCGGCTTTTCAGTACAATTGCGCATGTACGCGTGGAGATGTCGCGGCCACCCTCAGCGGCCCCAGTAACCACCGAGCACCCCATGCTCAAATCAGACAATGGCTGGTAAAATGACTGTGACTATAGCAATTTTTTACATTGTGGCGTTATTCACCAAGAGAAGAGAATAATTTCTATCGGACTTTGAGAATTTATTGTGAATTCAAAGTCGCGTGCTGCGCTATAATATTTAGCTTGCGTGTTCTCGGTAGCCTCGACTATCGATTGGCAGCTTTTGCTGACCATGCTGAAAAAGTGTTGCAAGGCCCATTTAAATTAGGAGTAGAACTTCGTGGCAAAGCAAATTTACCCTGGCTAAGTGCTTCAATATTCAAATATTCACACAAGCCTAGTAAATCTTCTTACGTCTGCGATATCGTCATCCAAACTGTTGTGCAGTGGAATAAATAGCCAAAGAGGTACACATGCACTCTGTCATGAATCATTACCTGATCACATTAGATCTCCAGTATCATAATCATTTACTAACATCCGAAGTCTTGCTTGAAAGCTGGATAAATTTTCTTGCTTCCTTTAAGATGCGCCGATTAAAATATTGTTATTCTTACCGAAACCTGGCTCTATCCACATATTTCTAATAATGAGCTATTTTCCTTCGCGAGCACTTATAGCATGTATCAATGCAGTCGTCTTAGCAGATAAGGCAGCGTTGTCTTACTTGCTATTAAAAAGATCTTTAGTTCTCGTTGCATTCACTCAGACTCAAATCTCGAGATCCATTTGCCAAACCCGTTATATAAAAGTGCTAATTGGAGCTTGTTACCATCCTCCAAATTCAAACGAAACCTTTATCATTGCTCTTCGTGACAGTATTGCCAATGCACTTAACACCTGCCAAGCAGATATCGTCTATCTTTTGGGTGATTTTAATTTTCCATGCACTGATTGGGAGAAGCTAATCTCTCCTTGCTAAATGCCATTCTATTTCATTAAATTAATCCTGGACTTGAATTTCTCCCAGGTTGTCAACAAACCCACTAGTGGATATCGGATCTCATATTGTTGGACTTAGTACTTAAAAGCAATCGTGAAACAGCAGAGCAAATAACTTACCTAGATGAATGGTTTTAGGGACCATTATCTGCTCCAATCATGCTATTCTATTACTTTTTACGGGCAGGGTGAACCAAACCTATTCATAACTATATCAAGGGTGACTACACTATCATAAATGCTGAACTAGAATTTTTTTTCCACAGTGAATTTTTTCCTTCTCTGCACAGTCGAACAGCCGAGCAGAACTGGGTGCTCTTCGGGAATAAATTATGCTTGTTAATAAACCAGTGAATCCTGTTAATCAAAATAACCAATGATAAATTGAACCCCTTGTTAAGGAATTCCCTCAGGCTATTTATAAAGAAAAAGAGACTCACTTAAATAAGTGCCAAAAAATTAGATACCCTTGTGGCTTGGGCAAAATACAGTGAGAGTAAAAACTATAACTCGGATTTAGGAAGTGCTAAAGATAAGTATTTTTTTCACACCCTTCCACCTTGCTAAATTCGAACTCTTGAGCTTCGCCTTTAAAAGTTGAACGCAATAGCGATATCCTGTCTATGGTGCACACTTTAACCACATAGTGCATACTTTTTATTGTATTATGTTACTCGAGAAGTTCAAACTGTGGATTAGTACAATGTAATCAATAAAGTTGAAAGTGGCCTGTGTCGATGAAGCCTTCACATATGGCTGCATTCTGTGTAATAAATAGCATGCTTTAAAACATGAGCTGTTTTGCGTGTGAAATCTTTTCAAACTTGCTATGCACCCACTACATGGTCTTAGCGGAATTCGTGCAGTAAAGTGTATGCCTTTTGTAATGGGTGGCCGGCTTTAGACCAAAAAGTCGTTATGATAATCAGATGCTTTGACTTCTGATGGCAATGTGCACTTATACCATGCAATATTACTGTGATATCACTTGTAATATGGAGCCCGTACATAGAACGCATGCGTTTGTATTGCATGAACATTATTTTCAGTGTATTTCTAAGCAGAGATGAGGCTGTGTGGTAGAACACCTGCTTGTCACACAAATAGCCTGAGTTCTATCCTCACTCAGACCCGGAATTTTTTACAATTTATATTTTATTTGCATCTTTCTGTATTTTTATGTCACGCGCAAGATCACGATTTTTCTCTTACAACTAACGGCACCCAGGCAGACATGGACACCGACACCGTAATTTCTGCGAAACGAGCTCTTTAATGCTATCGTGTTGAAATTTTGGCAAGTCATTTCCGCAAACAGTGATACTGATAGCATTTCATTACATGATAGCAACCACGTGCCTATTCCAGACAATGGGTGTCCTTGAAGCTTTAATACTTATTTTCCATTCATTTTTTGGAAAGAAGATTACTCCATCATACCTGAGGTTCCAGACTTTGAGTATCAGTATATGACTCCCATTGAAATTTCTATCGGGGGCATTGTTACACTTGTAAACATATTTAAGTTATCTAATTTTTGTGGCGTCGCTAGGTTTAACTCCAGAGTACTAAAGAACGCCGTCACTACTTCGAGCAAAATACTATATCACATCATCAGCCTGTCACAACTGCAGGAGAGCTTCTGTCTGACTGGAAAGCTGCTAGAGTATTTCCAACATTCAGTAGTGGCGACAGACACTCACCTGATAGCTATATAGACCAATCTTACTAACCTGTATCTGTTGTAAAGTGCTCGAGGACGTCATTGCATCACACATATACAGTCATCTATAATCAAATAACTTTTTTTTTGCCAATTAACACGGGTTCATGAGGGGTCTTTTAGGTGAGACACAGCTTCTAGAATTCACAAATGACTTGCACTTTGACATGGACTGTAACATACAAATTCATAGTATCTTTCTTGATTTTTCAAAGGTATTTAACTGTGCAGCCCACTGCTGCCTGGTTTTCAAAGTTAACTGCTCCAGCATCGGATTTACAGTCACTCACATGACTTCCGAATTTTCTTTCAAAACGCCAGCAGTTTACAATAGTCAACTATCTCTCATCTTCCCTATGTTATATTACCTCTGGCATACTGCAAAGTAGCATTCTTGGGCTGCTACTATTCTTAATATATATTAATGACTTCCATAATTATTTATTTATTTATTACCTAACTTCTTAGCTTCCAGTGTGCAACAGTTTTTAGATGATCGCATTTTATACTGCCCTATATTCGGCCCCAATCACCATCACATTACACAGAACTATCTTCAGCTTATTTTTATTTGTATAAAACTTGCTTAATAACCCTAAATTCATGTGAATACAAAGTAATCTCTTTTACTCATAAACAGTCAGCTTCTCATTTTTTTATCACGTAAATATTAACCCAATTTCTCCTGCCACTGCATACAAGTACTTATAATCCATCTCATATCAAACCTATCTGGAAACCTTCATGTCACATCCATAGCTGCTAATGTGTTAAAGTCACTAAAGTACTTCCATCAAAGCCTGCGAAATTCTCCCTCCAATATCCGCAAGCTAGCTTTTCAGACATTTGTTCACTTGCAGCTGGAACATGCCTTTCCAATATGATCACCCCATCATAATGACGATAAGTTTATTAGTATCAGTACAAATAGGGCCACTAGGTTTATCTCTCATAACTATACTTACAAATCGAGCCCCTTCCCCCCTTTCACAAATATAACATAATTCACTTATACCCCTCACTACTCGTCGGCACTTAGCGTTTATATCATTGTTTCCCAAATAGGTTTACGCTTGTGAAAAAAATCTTCCTTGGGGCTTAAAGTTTCACCTTGAACATCTCGCAAATTACATGATTACTTCAGTGTCACTCGCATGTATGGAAGCACTCACGCATTCATTTCATCAGTGATTCCTCAAGCTATTCGATTGTGGAATTCACTTCATGATTCCACTGTATCTGAAAAATATCCTAATGAATTTCACCAACTCATCATTTCCCATTCCTCTGAATAACCTTGACAAAATGCATTACGTCTTTTTTTCTTTTCTTCTTATGTACATTTTATTAGCTCTTATATTTATGAGTTTGTTATTTATTTTTGCTCATTTATTGCACTCTCATGTTTTTGACTTTTCAGTGTCTGGGCATTTTACAAAATGTATCTGTTAATGTTCTCTCTAATTGTTTTAACTGTATATGCATTGAACTACTCCGTTGCTCTTTTTGCCTCAACAATTATTGTTAGCCAATATTTTAATGAGTCTATGAAGTTACATGTGTGCTTTCAGCCATTTCATCCTGTATTATACGTAATCATAATATGTGATCATTTATTTTTGTTGTGATGCCCCTTTTATCGAATGCCTCTAACAAGGCCTGTAAGGGCTCCTTCAATAAATAAATAAATAATAAAATATAAATACTAACTGATGCAATTAACTTTAGGCAAGAACGGCTCAGTCCTCAGAAAAAGTGGCTGTCATCCACTTTTGTTCAGCCAAACCCATCCATTGCTAATGAAACAAAAAGTGTTAGGTGGTGTGAACCCGTGCTACACCAGTACAGAGAATACAGTGGACGAGAAAGAAAGCATAACACTCATAATACCACTGTTTGTACAAGGTTCTTCTTTAAAATTTTTTTGGCAATAATACACAGAAAGGCACTTTACTCATTTCAAACCATTTCTGAAGCTTCAGATGGAAAACACACCAAATTAAAAGGACATGTATTTTAGGGCTCCTTTAAAACAAGCACATATTACACTCTTCAAAACGGTCAAGGCAAACCCTTTTTATCATCTCACATCCTATAACTGGCACTACAGCCGACTACAACTCGTGTTCAGATGTGCAAATAGCTGGAACACTGACTGTGCTGATAAGGTTGTCACCACAAAGCAGGAGGTACTGACGCCAGCGCCACAGGTGGTGGGCAGCTGAGGGCAGCCGCTCCTGGTAGTGAAGGTGCAGCTGGCGACAGATGTAGTGTAGTGCCAGGCTCTCCTCGGTGTAATAATGCCGAAAACCTAAGGCATCCGTGTGTTGGAGCACCTTGCTTTGGCTGCAAGGTCAACCCACCAGGTATTAATGTCACAACAGGAATAATGAAATAAAGTCACACTACTTTCCAGCCCTAAAGCAGTAGTTGGCACTTGTTGACATATGAACTCAAATGACACTGCTTTTCAGCAGGTTCATTAAGTTTAAAATATAGCTTATCGATTAAGTCTAGAAACACATCAGAAAATGCCTATCATCGAGTATTAATAGCAACTTTCAGGCACTCATTTTGTTGTAGATTTAAAATACAATACATAAAAGCAATGGTAACTACGTCATGCCACTCGAAATAACATTCTTTCTTATTTACACTAACCTCCACACCGAAAAACAAATCCCCAATTTATGTGTACTAGACACACTGAAATGAAGCTTCTAAACAGTTTTGACACCACTCTTAATGCCAAGAAGTTGCTTTGTGGTGCAGACATATTACTAGCACCAGTCTTGTTTACCAATGAGAAACCTAGCCACGCCAAACCCTAAAAAAGTAGGAAAAAAAGACCGCTCAAAATATGGAAATATGCCAGCAAATATCTAGCATTTTTGTCACCATGTGTTCAAATGCATAAGACATATTTCTCAATGCGATCGGAACTTGTCAAAAAGAGAATCTTATGCAGTATGAAGACAACTTATACATCGTGCCAACCCCCTGTAAAAAATTGAAGCACCATGAACCAGTACAGCCAAGTCTAGCTTCCTATGGGCTGTAGCAGTACTCTCAAATCTCAGCACTTCAGCTTGGAGGAACATGCCTTTGCATGTTCCTTTCTGGCCTCCATCTCTCTCTCTCCTCCCATAAACCAAAATATGCCCTTTTTCTTTTCTCTTTGAACGTGGCTTGGTTACTTCTAGACCGCGCTTTAAGACATTCCAGCATACCTGCATCTTCTTAAGGATGGAAATCACCTAATACACCACAACCTGCCAGTTTCTTTTTTGTCACTCACGGGCCTCTCTGTATCATCCTGTGCATGCCCCGGTGGAAGCGCCTCAGTTTAGCATGGACACCACAGTCATCACTGCTACTTTGTCTCTGCACCGGACAGGAGGGCTAGACCGTATGCTTGAAATGCAAGAGCATGGTCGACAACACAGGGAATACAAGCAATGTCGTCAGATGGCTGAAGAATGGTTCTTGCTACAACTAGCTGTGTGGGTGTTGCGGGTACTGCATAGCACTGCGCAACCAAGAAGATGAGCATACCCCTTTCATTCAACCCAAGATATATAGAATGCACTTGTAGGTCAGCTTGTTTTGTTCAGCAGCAATTTCTGGCCCCTTTTGTGGGTTGTTGCAACACCCAAAATTCCCTTTGCAGCTTGATGCTACATTGAATGCTGTTATAGACATTCAAACAAAATGCAGCCTACATTTACAGTACTTTATCAACTTATTTAGACTTTTTGCTAAAGTTTCTCAGCGTGTTATTAGCCTCAAACCAGTCCAAAAATGGTCATGCAGTTGATGCCTTACTATTATTTAAACCCTAAAAATCTAAATCTTACAGCTCAGAAATATATAGATGTTGTGGCCATCAAATGACCCACATGACAAAAGAATTTGTTGCGAGGCCTCTATCTATAAGCTTTAATTACATTTAATTCAGTTTAATTTTATATGTGACACATCAATTGTAGAGTAGCTTTACATGAAAGGGAATCCTGTCTCTATTTCAAAAATTTCATGGTGCCCTTGGTGCTAGTAAAATAAATAGTTGGGTAATAAAACAGTATTCAACAAAAGCGGTCAGCATTTTTACATGGTTGCTTGATTCGTGACTCCGAACTCAATGACTTTGGGCTAAAATACAACTTGTGCACTGCTGCGTATGCATACAGTGTTTCATGCAAGCGACTCACAGCCAGTTTCTAGTTTTTGTTGTAATTATGTTTTAAAGAAGTCGTAAAACACTATAAATTTTAAGTAATCATAAATTTACATGACTGATGGACTAGACTGCCTCATGAATCTCAGAGCTACAAACTCTTTTTGAATCTAAGAGAACTTGTTGTTAGGCTAGTTGGTAGATCATTTCGAAAAGTTAATTAGAGTGCGAAAACTTGACACGATCACTCACACACGCACACACCCATGCATCAAACACAGAGCGCTGTGTGTTTGATGCATGGGTGTGTGCGTGTGTGAGTGATCATGTCAAGTTTTCGCGCTCTAATTAACTTTTCTTTTTGAATTCTTCATCCGCATAATATGGTCAATGAATGTGGATACAGCAGAGTGCCGGTTAAAACAGCATAAAACTTAACAACTGCAGTGAGTTCTACAACTTTTCTGTTAAACTGCTCCTTTTCAGATGCTTGTGTCTTTTGCAAGTCCTTAAAGGCAATAACTCTTAACACTTGCAAATACCGTTCTGTAGTAATAGCTGTGTCGATGCCTCAAGCTGACTGTGCTGCCATGGTAGGGGGTATCATTGCCTTTCTGTGATAAATAATCATATTAGTGTTGTCTGCCTTCTTTGTTTCTTTTTGTATTGCTCAAATGTTATTAGGTATTTGTTAAATGCAACATGTATTTTACTAATTGTAACCAGGTAATATTGCCATCACCGTGCAAAAAATAAACGTGTCACAGTCCAAAGTTATCCAAAAAAAGCAACCGGTCCGCAATAAGATGAAGCTTGCATTAACTAGTAGCTGCCAAGGACTGTGCAGCTTTTGTCTGGTCCGCTTCTGTTTTGGGTTTTTTTATACTTTTGTAGGTCCTTCCTAGTTCATGCAATGGACCGACTCACTCAGTAAACAACTTTAACTGAGGCTCTTTTTGGGCTTCAAGAACCGGCTTTCGGATGGCAACCTAGTACTTGATTTTTCTCTCACAACAGTTCTCAAGCAAGTCAAGCACATGCACTACATCTTAGAGTAATGACAAGAACGCATTGTATTTGTCTGTGCTACTGGCTTGAGAAAAATAAAAACTCATGCTGATCATTAGTTGGTTTCTTCAGGGGTAGTTATCACAACTGCTTTGTTTTCATATGGCTTTTATTACAGAGAACTCTTTTTGCACTACCGTTGATCTGAAAAATATCAGTTATGCTCAAATTAAAAGAGTAAACTCACCTGTCGTACGTAGGAAGGCCTGGATTTGACATGCGGGCTTCCCGCAAAAGCTGGAGTACACGAGCTGCATGCTGACAAAAATATTGCACAAGTATTATAAAATGCTGCCACAGAACGAAAGTTCTGAATGCATGTCTTCTAAAAATATAAAAGCACTCGTATGCGCATTCAAACCTTTGGGTACTTCAAAAAACTGTGCAACACCAGGATTATTTCTGTTCATCATAGTGGACTCATCTCGACTAAATATTGTCACGACGCAGACACAGCAGGAGTTCGATATAGAAGAGCTCACTTTAATTAAAAATGAAAGGCGCTCGTAAAGAGGACCGGGCAAGAGCTTCGTCTTCTTCTCTGGCTGTGCGAGCTCCCCTCTGCAGGTTGAATGCGGCATTTGCCTCCCTCCAGGAAGAGCATCGACCCGATGCTCGGCTACAGAATACGCGGTGTATGTAGTTGACGTATTGCGCAACTGGCTCACTGTAATATGGCTTCATCCGCACCACGTGTACGATTTCAGATTTTTGAGCTCGCGAGGAACTGTCAGGGATGACCTCATAATTCACGTCACTTAGGCGCCGTATAACATTGTAGGGACCAAAGTACTTCTTCAATAACTTTTCACAAAGGCCGCGTCGGCGAATAGGGCTCCAGACCCACACCTTCTCGCCCGGTTGATAATTGACGTATCGGTGTCGCAGGTTATAACGTTGTGCGTCATAACTCTGCTGTCGGGCGATTCGCACGCGTGCTAGCTGCCGTGCCTCTTCAGCTCGTTGGGTAAAGGCTTGAACATCCGTGTCTGTATCCTCGCAGTTGTGCAGCAGCATGGCATCAAGCATTGTCGTCACTCCACGGCCATAAAGAAGACTAAATGGCGTGCTCCGCGTAGTTTCCTGCAGCGCCGTATTATAAGCAAACGTCACGTATGGTAGAACGTCGTCCCAATTTTTATGATCCACGTCGATGTACATACTAAGCATATCAGCAATTGTTTTGTTGAGGCGTTCTGTTAAGCCGTTGGTTTGTGGGTGGTAGGAGGTAGTTTTTCGATGCGCTGTTCCACTCAACTCAAGCACTGACTTGAGGAGCATGGCCGTGAAAGCGGTACCTCTGTCTGTTATTATAATTCTAGGAGCACCATGCCTCAGAACGATATTTTCAATGAAAAATCGTGCCGCTTCTACTGCGGTTCCACTTGATAAAGCCTTTGTTTCTGCGTAGCGAGTAAGATAGTCCGTAGCGACAATTACCCACTTATTTCCAATATGCGAAGTCGGAAATGGTCCAAGGAGATCCATTCCGATTTGTGCAAAAGGCATGGTGGGCACTTGGACTGGTTGCAACAATCCGGCTGGTTTTAAAGGTGGCGATTTTCGTCGTTGACAATCGAGACACGTGCGGACGTAATGCTTTACAGTGCCTGGAAGCTTCGGCCAGTAGTACTTTTGTTGGATTCTGGCCAATGTGCGCGTATATCCGAGGTGGCCGGAGGTTGGCTCATCGTGGCAAGCGCTCAGGATCTCATCGCGAATGGATGTCGGGACGACAAGTAAGTGGGCATTTCCGCTGGGGGCAAAGTTCTTCTTGTATAGCACACCACTGCGCAAGCAGAATGATGGTAGGCTCCTTGCAAATATCTTGGGAACGCTTGTAGACTGGCCGTTAAGAAAATTAATAAGAGGGAGCAACTCACTGTCTTCTTTCTGCTTAGACGAAATGGTGACCGAGTCGACCACTCCTAAAAATGCCATGTCATCATCTTCCAAGACATCATCTTGCTTTATAGGCGACCTGGATAAGCAATCAGCATCAGAGTGCTGTCGTCCCGACTTATAGACGACCGTCATATCGAATTCTTGTAGGCGTAAGCTCCAGCGCGCTAGCCGACCGGATGGGTCCTTCAAGTTGGTCAGCCAGCAAAGAGAGTGGTGGTCGCTGACTACGTGGAAGGGGCGGCCGTAGAGGTATGGGCGAAACTTCAGAACTGCCCATACTACAGCAAGACATTCCTTTTCCGTTGTGGAATAATGGGACTCGGCACGGGAAAGCGTCCTACTTGCATATGCAATCACTCTCTCGGCTGAGTCTTGCCATTGGACGAGTACAGCGCCTAAACCTACGTTGCTGGCATCAGTGTGGATCATGGTTGGAGCGTCCTCGTCAAAGTGAGCAAGCACAGGGGGTGTCTGCAGGCGCTGTCGTAGACCGTCAAATGCTGCTTGTTCCTCTTCGCCCCATAAAAATGCAACATCGTCTCTCGTTAAGCGTGTCAAGGGCGACGCTATGTGCGAGAAATTGGCGATAAATCTGCGGTAGTAGGCGCAAAGGCCAAGAAAACGTCTTACGGCCTTCTTTTCTGTTGGCACCGGAAATTTTTGGACGGCGTCGATCTTGTCGGGGTCCGGACGAACACCTTCATGGCTCACCACATGTCCTAAGAATCGGAGTTCCTTGAAACCGAAATGACATTTCTCAGGTTTCAGCGATAAGCCAGCGGACCGTATTGCTCGAAATACTAATAGCAGCCGTCTTAGATGTTCCTCGAATGTTGGTGAGAAAACAATGACGTCGTCGAGGTATACCAGACACGTCTGCCACTTAAGGCCTGATAGGACGGTATCCATCAGTCTCTGAAATGTTGCTGGGGCTGAGCACAATCCGAAGGGCAAGACTTTAAATTCGTAAAGCCCGTCAGGCGTAACAAAAGCAGTCTTTTCTCTGTCCCGCTCATCGACCTCGATTTGCCAATAACCGCTTTTCAGGTCCATCGACGAGAAGAAGCGTGCATGCCTCAGCCTGTCAAGTGAATCGTCAATACGCGGTAGTGGGTATACGTCCTTCTTTGTCACGCGGTTCAGCTTGCGGTAGTCCACACAGAAGCGTAAGCTGCCGTCTTTCTTCTTAACTAGCACTACCGGTGATGCCCAAGGGCTTTTTGACGGCTGAATGATGTCATCATTGAGCATTTTCTGGACTTGTTCTTGGATTGCTTCGCGTTCTTTCGGTGCCACGCGGTATGGGTTTTGTCGAATTGGTCTTGCCGTCTCTTCCGTTATAATTCGGTGCTTTGTCAGTGGCGTTTGATTTACTCTCGAGGTCGACGAAAAACAATCTTCAAACTGGCCGAGAATATCTAGAAGACTCTGCCTCTGCGCTGGCGATAAATCTGTGCTCACGTCGACAGGCAGTGGTGTTGAAGCGGCCGGCATCTCTGCCTGTTGTACTGCGAAGCACTCGCGGAATTCTACAATTTCTTCGAAGTATGCAACTGTGGTACCCTCTGCAATGTGTCGACGCTCGTTGCTGAAGTTTGTCAACAGGACCTCTGCTTGCCCAGACACTACACTGACGAGACTTCTGGCAATAGCGATTCCTCGAGAGAGTAAAAGCGTCGATATTTGTTCCGCGACACCTTCTCCACTATGCTGCGTGTTACACGTGACAGAGACGAGGCGGCATGACAACGGTGGCATGGTTACGTCATCAATCACGCGCATGGGCTTGCGCTGCAGCGCTGCGCTATGGTCCGCTGAGAAAGTCAGTACACCGTCCGGTATATTTATAATGGCACCGTACTCCCGCAGGAAATCCATACCCAAGATGGCCTGTTTACAACACTCAGAAAGAATAATGAAGGTTGCCACGAATGATGAATCGCCGATCTTGATTCGTGCGGTGCACTTTCCGGTAGGTGTCAGCAGCTGGCCTCCGGCTCCTCGAATTTGCGGCCCCGTCCATTCCATTTTTACCTTCTTGAGTTGGTCGGCCAGATTCGCACTCATTATTGAAAAGTCCGCACCAGTGTCGACCAGTGCAGTCACGTCGTGACCGTCAATTGAAAGTGTAATGTCGGCGGTGACAATCTCGTCTTTCGTCGGTTCATTCGAAATGTGTGGCACTTCATGCGGCGGCAATGGGGGATTTTCAAATCTTCGGCAATTCGCAACCTTCCCCCCTAAGGTCGCTGCTTTTAGTTTCCCCGGCGTGGACTGGGAGACCTTCCTCTCGCCATGTCCGTGGTGCTACCTCTATTAGATCGGGGAAAATGACCTGGGGAGGGCGAGCGTGACCGGAACCCAGGAGAAACGTCTCGCGGGATCGTCGCGCTCGTTTCAACGTTGCGCCTTCCGTCGAAATAGCGCCGAGGGGTAGTGGACGGAAATCCTTGATACCCGGCAACGCGATGAGGACAATACCGCACGATGTGGCCTGCTTCCCCACAATGGAAGCACAGGGGCCTGTAGTCAGGGGTACGCCATATGTCGGTTTTGCGGAGTGGGGGTCGCATCGGCGTCGACGTTTCCCTGTAGTACCAAGGCACTGTCGGCGGCTGTTGCTGGTGGTACTGTTGAGGTGGCGGCACGTTAGATCTAGGCTGTCGACGGAGAATGTCTGCATATGTTGGCCTAACTATTTCAGTGTTTGGCTCGGGAAGTGAAAGCGCTTGCCTTATTTCTTGGCGAACAACTTCTGTGACCGACGCAATCGCGCAGTCATTGGGTGTGGCGGCGAGCTTCTTCACCTCTTCTTGCACAATTTCGCGTATCAGGTCACGCAAAGAACGCTCGTCAGGAGTCACCGTGGTCACGGTGGTTGCGCTGATTTGTCCGCTGTTGTTTGGACGGTCGTACTGGCGGTACCGTAGCTGTAGTGCGCGTTCTATGGCGGTCGCCTCCTTCGAAAATTCGTCGACGTTTGAAGGTGGGTTCCGTACGAGACCAGCAAACAGCTGCTCTTTAACACCACGCATGAGGTGGCTGATCTTTCTGTTTTCGGACATGTCGGGATCGGCTCGATGAAAGAGACGAGCCATGTCCTCAACAAACATAGCAACAGACTCGTTGGGCTTTTGAATCCGTGATTCAAGGAGTCGTTGTGCATGCTCCCGCCTTTCGGTGTTTGCGAAGGTGTCCAGGAACTTTCGCCGGAACTCGTCCCACGTTGACCACACGCGATTCGTGAACCACGTGCGAGCCCCGTCTTGAAGAGGGAAATACACGTACCCCAACTTCTGTGCGGCGTTCCACCCGTTAACGTTGGCTGTGCGCTCGAACTCCTCAAGCCAGTC